AAAGAAAGAAAGAAAGAAAGCCAAATGTCGCGTCAAATATATACTTGTTTTGTCGCCATTCACACACGCCGATTGAAAGCCAGTTTTATCAACGTACGGTAAAAAGTAGTAAAAAGTAAAGTAAAGTAAAGTATTGATTATCGAACTGTTGCTTTCATTTGTGGAGCACGACGAGGATGACGATAAGGAGGAACAGCGGCAGCCGGACGAAGGAGAGACGGTTTCGTTGCCCGGCCGGAAACCCGACGAAACGAAGGATCTTGAAAGGGAAGATCTGGTCGCGCGATTCGATAGAGTAGTCGGGGCAGATGATCCGGCAGATGAAACTTTTCAGGTGACACTTTCCACTCTGAGGGGGAGTGCTCTTTCTCTCCAAATCAAGTGCAGAAAACTTTCTTTATTTCTTCCTCCTATTTATCATGTTTTAGAAATCTCGATTGGGAAATACGTACGGTGACTCGCCTGTAAAAGAATTCTCTGTCAAACCAGAGACAGTTTTCGTTGGAAAATTTAAAATCAATTGTTAGTTGTCCAACTTGTCTTTTGACAAAATTATCAAAACAATTGCACAGTGACTCGTGCAATTCGATCATTTCGACAATTATTTATCTGCCGATGGACAATGGCAAAGTTTAGATACGCGAAAAAGTGTTTGAATATATACTTTTCGATTCTTTTCTTTTTCTTTTTCTATTTGCTTCTTACGCGAGAAACGCGAATTGAATTTGAGATTGTTGTAAATAAATAAATAAATAAATAAATAAATAAATAAATGATTGACGAGGATTGATCTTTGTATTGTAATAAATACGGGGGGAGGGGGTAAACGAAATAATGGCTAAAACGACAAACTGGCTGGCGACGAGAAGAGGATAGAAAGAATTCCTCGGGAGGTTGAATTGCTCGCGTGGGAATCTGAATCCAAGTGAATGCAATCTTACTAGTCTTAGTCATAGTCTTAGTCTTAGTCTCTGAGATTTAGTTTTCCCGGATTTCTCATCTGTTTTCCAGCGACGAAACGACCGCGAAGAGATACGACGGAGGTTGGCAATGGGACCAGATGCTGAAGACTTGCGCGTTGAACGCGGAAGGAAGCCGAGCCTGCAGTCGCGGCTTCAAAGCGGTTCGTATCGCTCGCACCAAGCGAGAACGCCTCTTTCTCCTTTCTTTCTTTTCTGCTTCAGATTCTCTGAACAAGGAAATAAATAAGTAAATAAATAAATACATAGATTTGTTGGGTGCGTGCAAGTGAAGAATATAAAATATAGCGACTGACGTGTAGTTTGTTTGAAATTTCTGCGCGTGTGTGTTGATATATCACGACATATATTGGTGCAACAAAGAGAGAGAAATATTTATTCATTTATTTATTTATTTATTTATTTATTTATTTATAAAAGTGTAGAGAGAATGAGCTTGGAGGAGGCAGGAGGAGGATTGTTGGTTTCGACCCGCTGCGACAGTTCGAGCGAAACGACGATTGTTACGGATTGTTACGCAACGTAGCATACGATGCCGTTCGTTGAAAGATTAAGGTGACAATTGCTATAATTGTAATTAATATACGTTCGGCTTGCTCTTGTTCATCGGTGCGAGAAGTGCGGTGAATTTGTTTGTTGTTGAATTTTCTTCCAAGCATCGAGTCATTCGTGGCAATGGCGAGAGAAAGTTTAGAGAATTGAAAAATTAAAAGGGCGATATCTGAACTGGAACTGTTCTCGGGATAGAGAACAGAGTTTCGGAAAAAGAATGTATATTACACGTTATCGCTCGCTTCACTTTAGCCTCGTTGCAATACATACGAAGATAAAGACACGGGCATAAAAAGATATTTTCACAGATAGTGAACGAGAATGTGAACAGTGACGATCGACTTAATTTCCAATAAATTTCATTCGCGCGTCTCGACTCTCTCTCTCTCTCTCTCTCGAGAGAGAGAGAGAGAGAGAGAGAGAGAGAGAGATAACCCTCTCAGCCCTCTCGACAAGCTTCTTTCTTTCGTGTCATCCGTCAGCAATTTATCGCGCTTCAAAAATAAAATGATAGATGCAGCGTTGGAAATGATCGTTCAAATGGCATTTGACAAGCGGAATTTTGTTGATCGTACATCTTTCACGACAACGTGTAATATTAATAATTCCGGCAAGGCAATCGTCGACGTGCGTTGCTTTAGGCTTAGGTTAGGTTTACATTAGGTTTAGGTTAGGTTTGCTAGATTGAGCATGATATAAAAGCCTGGAAAAATAATCCTCCGTCAATCATTTTGCTTTGTTTGCTTTGTAAAGTTTCGCGATGAGACGAAACAAAAAGCCAAGTCCAGCTTACGCGAATATTATTCCGAATTGTGTGAATTATTGACTGGATGATAATTCTTTTCTACTCAGACTATTTTACTTTATTACACGTCGCATCGTATGAACGCATCGAAATACGTTCGTTATCAGCAAATTTTATATATATATAAATAGAGAAAGTCGGAGCTGTTGGCTAGGTAGTTGAGTCCCAGTCGCAGAATCGGAAGGAAGGACAGTCGAGTGCAAAGGATTAACGAGGAAACAAAAGGTTAAAAGGTCAAAGATCTTTTGTTACATGTAAGAGTACTTGTAACAAAGTAATAACGAAACTTTTAAATAGATATTGGAATAACTGATATTGAGATTTCTCGGTTTAGGTTTGAGGTGGAGATAACTCGGTCGATAGAGCATCAGACTCTTAATCTGATGGTCCAGACAGACTTCTTCGAGCTCCTGTTTGGATGGAAAGAAAAAAAGAAAAAAAAGATTTAGATTAGGTTTAGATTAGCAAGCCGTAGCAATTGTTGGATCAACAAAGAGGAGGAGGAGGAGGAGGAGGAGGAGGAGGAGGAGGAGGAGGTCGGGCAAGGAAGCGGCGGGGTCAGTTTGTAAAAGGAGGAACGTTTGTTTTTCAGGAATGAATCTGCAGATCTGCTTCATGAACGAAACGCCCTCGGACACGGAATCCCCGTGTTCGGAGAGCGACGTGTCCCCGGGATCTACGCCGACCGCGCTCAACTCAACGAGACAACAGCAGCAGCAGCAGCAGCAGCAGCAGCAGCATCGGGCAAACTCGACTCAACAACAACAACAACAACAACAACAACAGCAAATGCTGGCGAGACCTCAAGTGCTGCGTCTTCCGCCTTTGAGATTGGAGAGCTGCTCGAACTCAGCGCCGATCGACGAGGCCGACTTTTTCGCTAGGCAGGCGAGATTGCAAACCGAGGCGCGAATGGCCCTGGCGCAGGCCAAAGAGATGGCGCACATGCAGATGGAAGTGGAGAGGCAGAGGCTGAAGCAAAGTCCCATCACCGAGATGGTGCGCTCCAGCTTGGAAAAAGTGAGTCCTTCTTGCCACTTCTGCCATTGTCTCTTGTCTTTTGTTTCTCGCTCTGTCTCGCCAAAATCATAAACGATTCCATCCCTAGCAGGGGCAAACGTTTCTCTCGTAT